ATTGAGGACAGCAGGCCAAGTTTGTTTACCATTTACCATTAGGACTGGGTGAGAAGGTATGGAATAAAATCACTGTCAAAAATAATCGTACGTAATTCAAAGCATTTGTGTGTCATTTTAATTTACTCGTGCGTAATTTAAAAGTATTGTATGTAATTCTGTTTTTTGTCAGAGTTGGATTCCAAAATCTATGCCCACGACAGTTTACAGATACGAGATTTTGTGTGTTTGTTAATAGTACAACTCCAAAATGTAGGACTATGACAGTTTACAGACACAACGCTTGTTTTCACAACAGCTCTGTTACACGCACGACATGCGAATTGCGACACGAAGTGCGGTGTGCGAAACCACTGTCAAAAATCCGTCATCATTGTCACAGGCGTTACTATCCGAGGGAAGATGAATCGATTCCACGAAGTGCCTAAAGATCATATGCTATTTTAAAGTGTCTTAATATTGTGTTGGAGTCCTCTACAACAGGTTTAAATGCATCTAAGGCCAGAAAACTTAATTTTCTCAGAATATACATTTAATATTAGAGTCATTTGCCAATGATTTTGAAACGATTTGTTCCAAGCAAGTTCGAAGCAAACCCCTCCCTTCCATAAGCCTACTCTGCTCTGATTGGTCAGCTGGCCAAGCCTGTTGTGATTGGCACAGAGAGGAGTCCTTGAGCAAGTTAGCGAGCACTACCATCGACAAAGCACCTTTACATAAAACAATAATATAGTGCTCCAATCCGTTCTTAAAATAATGACATAAAATACAAAAACACTTATGCAAGCGAATCGTGCCCACAGCTAAAGTTTAGCTGCTAAACTGTAAACACTTAAAACAATAATGGTAGATACATTAGCCGAGTGCTAACGTGACTGATGAAATGATACAGTTTGTAAACCAAAATATGTCTACTGTAATGTTTGAAGAACGACAGACAAAAGACGCTCTGTCTTAACTTTTAATCAGAACGCAGAACAGTATCTCAGGCACACCAGCCTAACTAACTCGCTCATCTCTCCCGCATTAATCCTATAACTGCCAGTGCAGCAAAATAAACAGCAATTTTACAAGGATTATAAAGTCTGTGTGCTACACTACATTCTTTATTATTAAACAAAGTAATTATTAGAACGTCAGTCTACATTAATCAACACATTCTTAGGAAATAGTGGGTTCACAGCAAATTATCAGAACTATTTCAGTAAGACAGTAATATAGTGCTTTACCTGGAAACCTAAAGCTGCACTAGTATGGAATAAAATCACTGTCAAAAATAATCGTACGTAATTCAAAGCATTTGTGTGTCATTTTAATTTACTCGTGCGTAATTTAAAAGTATTGTATGTAATTCTGTTTTTTGTCAGAGTTGGATTCCAAAATCTATGCCCACGACAGTTTACAGATACGAGATTTTGTGTGTTTGTTAATAGTACAACTCCAAAATGTAGGACTATGACAGTTTACAGACACAACGCTTGTTTTCACAACAGCTCTGTTACACGCACGACATGCGAATTGCGACACGAAGTGCGGTGTGCGAAACCACTGTCAAAAATCCGTCATCATTGTCACAGGCGTTACTATCCGAGGGAAGATGAATCGATTCCACGAAGTGCCACCGTTTTAAACCACTGGCGGCCAAAATGGCGGATCAGCAGCCAAGCACTCACTCATCATCTCGGGTAAGTGATTTTTTTTCTTTTTCAAATTCGGACATGTTTAAGGGTTAGGATAAATAAATAAATCTGTATAAATAAGATACTTTTATTATATTTTTATTTTATATTTTATATTATTCTAATTCACTGATTAAATGTAAGAATTTGACTCAAAAGATAATGGACACTTTTAGAAAAAATGGCTTTATAAAGGTAAAAATGCCCATAAAATGCAAAAATCAGTTTAAACTTATTGGAAAAGATTCATTTCTATCAGTATGAACTGACCACCACACAGAATATGAAGAATATTAAAAACATTAAGAGTCAGCGGTCTTCGGCAGTCCTTAAGATACCAGCACAATAACACACTCAGCAAAATATCGTCTAATTATCGTTATCGATAAAATCCCAGAAAATATCGAGATATACTTTTTTGTCAATATCGCACACCCCTAATACCAATGTCGTATGTAACTTTAGACACGGTCCCTAGATTTGCGAATATCAAATGCCGGAAATGACACCTCTGGCCATTCCGTTGGGTCGTGTGTAAAGTCACAGATACTGTACGGACAACATGGCTCAGTTTTTCTATGTATCTTGCTCTGTTGAACGGCAAAAGTGACTTTACTAGGCTATACTATATTATCAAATCCTTTGAACTCAAATGCTTCTAAAACTTTTAACATTCTTGAGTCTATTGTAAGCTATCTTTAAAATACTTTCCTTTCTTTCTTTTTTTTTCTTCTTTATCATTGGTATATTTTGTTAATTTGTGTAGCTTGTCTGATCCGCCATTTTGGCCGCCAGTGGTTTAAAACGGTGGCACTTCGTGGAATGGATTCATCTTCCCTCGGATAGTAACGCCTGTGACAATGATGACGGATTTTTGACAGTGGTTTCGCACACCGCACTTCGTGTCGCAATTCGCATGTCGTGCGTGTAACAGAGCTGTTGTGAAAACAAGCGTTGTGTCTGTAAACTGTCATAGTCCTACATTTTGGAGTTGTACTATTAACAAACACACAAAATCTCGTATCTGTAAATTGTCGTGGGCATAGATTTTGGAATCCAACTCTGACAAAAAACAGAATTACATACAATACTTTTAAATGACGCACGAGTAAATTAAAATGACACACAAATGCTTTGAATTACGTACGATTATTTTTGACAGTGATTTTATTCCATAGAAGGCGAACTTGTGAAGTTAATATAATGGCATGTGACACCAGGTTAAATGAGCTGGACTTATGTCATGCTAGGGAGAATAAGGAATGCTGTGAACAGTTTCTGATGTAAACACACATCTATGTATATGACCAACAAAATACCGCTACACAGAACAGTACAATATACAGTTGCATGCTGTATTTACAGTATGCACATAAAGTGATAATGTATAGACTATCCATAAATATTTGGGCACTCTGAACTGTTGAAAGATTTGCAACCATATACTGATAAAATGAAAAAAAAAAAAAGACTTCTAGTAATTTTAGTGGCCTTAACAGCTTATTAATGTGAATATCCAGAAATTAAATGTGCATTAATCGGTACAAATTTACTTTTGTGCCTGAAGCAATACGTTTATGTAATAAATCTAGTTGATTTAGATGATTTATTTAATGGAATTTAATTTTAATTTTAATTTTTTTTTTCATGTATTTGGTGTATTTTAAATATATGTATGTGTGTTAAGTGTTGTATATGTGAAGCACTACAAAAGTCTGAATTAATTGCCCCAAGGGGATTAATAAAGCACTAAACTAATTTATGTATACTTAATTATTATTGTATAAGTGTAGCACAATATAGTATATTATTGTGAAGTGTAGCACAAACTATTGTCACTATTCTAAAGCATATAAACAGTAGTGCGCTTATATGCTTATTTATGTATTTGAAATGTAATTAAATGACAGATAAATCTGAATTAAAACACAGCCACCTGTTTAAAAATGAACAGAACAGACATCTGATGAAAAAAAATAGCTGCTCTACTTTTAATAATGAAGTGAAAGTAGAGATTTCATTGTTAGTGAACAACAGATTTATATAGCAGCTTCTTTGGATCACATGTTTAGTCACTTCACTTTTTCATCTAATACTTTTTAAAATGTATATCTTCATGTTTAAAATCACACACAATATTTTTTCTGCCTACACCAGCTATAATTAGCAATAATATTGTGCAGACTGTTGAGTCTGTGTCTTTGAGTGAACTCTTGTCTACGTCACATCTCCTCGCTGAGGCCTCAACAGTCATTATCTAAAATAGCACCAGTTGAAGAACCTCAAGAGCTTCTTGAAACAGCCCAGGCCAAAATATTCTGCTCCTAAATTTAGCAAGGAAAAAAAATTAACAAGGAAATATTTTGCATTGGCAACATTGAGGAGAAATTAAACAGTACAACAGCAAGAAACATGAACATTTTTAAAAAATTTACCAAAGTAGGTTGTAATTGCTAAATTTGGTCCTTAATAGGATAGTTCACCCAAACATTTGTTGAAACTGTAAAAACATCCCAACAATTCACAAGTAATCAAAAAATTGTGAAGCGAAAAGCTACGTGTTTGTAATGAAGAAATCCATCAGTAAGGCATTTTTAACTTCAAACCAGATAAAATGCAAGCCATCTATCCATAACATTGTTTTTTTTCCCAGTGAAAATGTCAGCTTGTCTGAATCAGCAGAAAAATATGCACATCAAGCACCATTTACGTGCAAAAACAGTCCAAAACATGGCATTTAATCTGAGAGGAGATGGGCTTTATCACTGAAGGAAGAGTTATTATGGATTATGGACTCATATTTTGGTCAAAAGCGATGATTTAAAGTTGAAACGCTTTAATAATGGATTTGTTTATTACAAACACACAGCTTTTCACAAGATATTAATTGATGGACTCGTGTGGATTATTGTGATGTTTTATCAGCTGTTTACACTCTCATTCTGATGGCACCCATGCACTGCAGAGGAGCCATTGATGAGCAACTGATATGTAATGCTAGATTTCTCCAAATATGAAGAAACAAGCTTGAATGGCCTGAGGGTAAGTAAACTTTAAGCAAATTTTCATTTTTGGGTCAACTATGCCTTTGATTTATGCCTGCTCCCAAAAATGTTAAGAGTATTTATTTTCTTGTAGTGTATTTATCACTTCCATAAATTCTTGTTTAGGAAAAAACTTGCTAAACCACGTTTCTGGTTTTAAACGGTGTGTTGTATAAGAAAAGCGTGAACACAGGATGTTGGGAAGCCACTCCCTCTGCTGCCCTCCCTTGAGACTACAGAAGAGACAAGCTAGAGTCTCATTCAAACCAGCCACACACTGGGACAGCAAAGAATTCACACATACACACACATTCGCACAGACAAACACACATCAGTAAAGACGTGCTCCAGTACAGAGCATTACAGACACACACAGAGGGACTTCCCTTGTGAAACCACTCACACACTGTCTGTAGCACTTTCTACCTCTTGCTTACAAACACACACACACACACACAAGCAACAGCTGTCAACATGTTGTTGCCGAGAGCTTTGACCCTGTTCATCCTGTGGGGTAAGTTGTTTTTATTATAATTTCTTTTTTGCATCCCAAAACTGCATTTCCAAAGCATTTGGTCTATCAAGTTTGAGTTTCTGGAAAACTGTTGCAAAGTACAGTGCAAAGTTTATGAATTTGCATCATATTGTGAATATTAAGATCACTTTAAGATATTTTACACTCTACTATTGGAAACTGTTTGAGGACAGTCTGTAATTGCTTAACAATTGTTAAATTATTCAGTGATGTATACTTTGTGTTTGTATGTGATACCTAGTGTTTCATTAGGTATAACATAATGCTTAATGCATAACAGGCACTGTAAACAAACTTCAAGGTCGATGTATGTGAGAAAATGTACTAAGCTAAGTTTTTACTGCATGTAAAGGCATTCAAATATTGCTAATTTTAAGCAATATTTTTCTAAGTCTACTTAGTTAAACTGTATCCATAGTTAAGCTGTATGAGTTTTATGAGAAGGTTTAATTTAACCTTCGTACCTGTTACTCAAGGAAAGTTGTGGAAAAGTAAAATCATGCTTCTATTACTTCCATGAATCATGCTTCCATGAGTTTTGAATAAAGTTACCTGCTTCTGGCACTCTTGCTCACTATGACTCAGCTCAACTGTGACATTATTTATTTACGTATTAAACTTCACAATTCCCTGAATTCAATGGTACAACCACCAATGTAATGTTCTTCTTGGAGAATCTCTTAGAAATGTCATGTTTGCAGGTGACACTGACACCTGAAACCACCCATCATCTGAGCGCATCTAAAGCTGATATTAATGTCCTTTAATCAGCATTATTGGTGTCTGACAAGTGTAGACATAACAGATGAGCTGCTGACATGAGTAAAAATGTCTAATCTTACACTGGAAACATGACTCAACTTCTTAGATTCTACTACGAATATTTCAAGAACACAGCATCTGAACTGATATATCATGCGTGTGATCTGCTCAAATTAAATGCTTGAAATAGTTTGTAGACTTCCTGAAAAGAATGAAATGTTTATACTAATTCCTATGACATTTTGTTTATTCCATTGACTCTATTCAGGTTCTGCCTCTTGTGTGCGGTATCGAGCTGACTTCAATATGATGGGAGTCACTGGTTGGATCTTCTTCGACTCCACAGAGCACAAGTCCACCGTTAATCTCACAGGAACTGGCACATGTCGATACAATATCTCCCTCACTACATTCCCGGTTATGTACGGCCATTTTGCTTTACCTTGTCAAAAGTCACACATAGGAGACAGTGTGTTCACGTTTACTGTAGATCAGCCTCAGGCTGCTGTGAATGTGTCTACTCTGTTTGAACAGCACATTAGTCTGGATGCCCTCTCTGTGCTGGTGGACACATGTAATGGTGCAAGGATTTGTGCCGGACTTACTTCGGAGTCCCAGGTAAGAACATGGGTGGCACGGTTTTTCAGTCCCGTGGCTGGAAACGTCTACATCCGGCAAGTGATGGGAGAAGCAGGAGCAAGGGTTCTCTCAGATCTAAGAAATGTCGATCAGACCAGGATTTTTTCAAATGTCACAATTTTAGTGTCTGCCACCAGCTGCAATGCACTTCTCGGTAATATGGATCCCAAGAGTCTTACAAAGCTGGGTGTTTTGAATGTGGGATCACCTCTAGAACCTGTTCAATCTCGATTGGAAATATCTAATCTCAATTCTAATGTCTGCTTCGCCGTTCTCGACTTGACCTCAAGCTACATGTGTGCAGAGATCCGAAGTGTCGCAATGAAGGTAGTTAGTGCTGTTGTGAACATGCAAGGGATTAAAGGCTACTTCTCCTTTCATCAACCATCTCCGTTTGATCTCACTACCATCACTGTTAACCTGACAAACCTGGACAGAAGAGTTGGGCCGTACCACGTTCATCAGTTTCCTCTTCCCCAAATGAGATCTCCATCAGATAGCAGCTGCAGTAACAACAACCTTGGGGGTCACTGGAACCCATTTAATGTGAATACTCAGGCACCAGCATATCCGCCACCGAGAGGCTCCACTCATGATCTCTTTGAGGTCGGAGATCTGAGCGCCAGGCATGGGTCTCTGGAGAATACGAATAACTTTCAAGCCACTTTCATGGACTGGAACCTGCCCCTGTTTGGGCGGAATAGCATTGTGGGTCGCTCTGTTGTGATACACATGCCCAACTCAACCAGATTTGCCTGTGCAAGCATCAGCTACCCAGGCGAAGTGACTGTCGCCAAGGCTGCCTTTCGTGGTCTGGTTGTGGGGACGGTCCTGTTCACCCAACTCAGTAGTGACCCATATTCTGATGTCTCCGTATTCTTGGACCTATCCTACGGACAACTTTCTGCACCTTCTACGGTGAATCACAACTGGCATGTCCACAACTATCCCATCAGCACAGAGACTGACAGTGACAAGGGATGTTGTCTGTCAACTGGAGGACACTGGAACCCATACAACATAGACACAGTGAGTGCATACGCTGTAAACTGTGCTCCCGACAGCCCTTTTGCTTGTGAAGTTGGGGATATCTCTGGCAAGCACAAGACTGTGGACCTACAGTCTGAGATGGGAACGGTGGCCACCAAGAACTTTTTTACTGACACCACTTCTTGGGTGTCTGGAATGATTGGACGTTCTGTGGTGATACATGGTCCAAACCAAACAGGTCCACGGATCGCTTGTGCAAACCTCACCTTGTACCGTTTTCCATCCGCTCGCTCGGATTCTTGGCTTGGACCTGGAACCTCTGAAGGTCAAATCCGATTCTCCCAAGTCTCTCCTCAAGGATCAACAATCCTAAATATCTCCTTTACCGGGCTTAATGCGAGAGCCGGTGGCTACCACATCCATATTCTTCCAATCAAAAGCACACAGGAACCTTGCTCGGACACTAACATAATGGGACACTTTAACCCGTTTTCTGTCAACGCAGCCTCATCTCCAGCTCCAGGAAATGGTACGGTTGACCAGTATGAGATTGGAGACATCAGTGGGAAGTTTGGAGACCTGACCGGTCAGAACAACTTTCAGAATCAGTACACGGATGGAAATATGCCACTTTCAGGACCGAACAGCATAATTGGCCGGTCTCTGGTCATACATTACACCAACAGCTCAAGGTTAGTTCCTTACGAATCGTACATCCTCAAACAGTCACCTGGCACAGTGTTTTGACCTCTGAAATAAATATAAGATATTAGTTTGCGTCTCTTCTGTTCGAAGCAGAACCATAAATAAGTGAGACAGGAAAACAACTGCATAAATTCTGCATTTTGTCTCAGTTCCTCAGTTCCTCTTTGACAGTCTGCGGCATTAGCCACATTTAACTGACAACAAGATCATTTTTTTAATGCTGTCAGATATCTGAAATACCTAAAAACCAAACTGTCATGAAAAGCATGTGTGGGAAGATTCACACAGCTCATTCCTCTACACACATCATTCATTGTTTATCTATACAAGTAATACAGATTTCTTTGACACACC